TTTTTTAAAAAAATTACCCTTAAAAAAAAAAAAAAAAAAAAAAAAAAAGGAAAAATCAAAAAAAAAAAAAAAAAAATAAAAAAATAATATAAAGAATTATAATTAAAAAATGTTCGCTAAATAATAATATTTATGTGAAATAAAGAAATAAAAAAAAGTGAATATAATTCATAAATTGTATGTACAAAATTCTTAATATAAAAAAATACAAATAAAACATTTCATTAAAATTACTTAAATATACTTGAGAATATTAACATGTATCTTTTTGTACTTGAACTTCCAAAAGTACAAAAAAAAAAAAAAAAAATAATACACATGTGTAAACGCTTTGTTAAATTTGTGCAAAGAGAAAAAGTTTAAATTATAAAAATTTTTAAATACACTTAAAATTTCTTTTATTTTAAACTTTTTTTATTATTTTAATTATGCTTTTTTATTACTTAGTATGTTTTATTTTTGATTGCTTTTTTAATTAAAAAATGATATTAAAAAAAATAACCATATTTTTTAAAAATATTTAAGTATATATATTATATATAATAAATTTTATATTAATGAATGCTATATAAAAAAAAAAAAAAAAAAAATAATAATAGTAATAATTGAAAGTTTATTTAAATATACTTTAAATGGACTTTCTTTTCTCCATTTTTAAATATTTTATAAATTTTAAATACATTTAAACATACTTTATTTAAATGTAAAAATATATAAATTATAAAAAGAATATTTTTTTCAAAAAAAAATTATTACTATTATTTTTGTGTGTAATTTTAGTAATTAAAAAAGCAAAAACTATTTGAAAGTCTATTGTTTTTAAATAGTATTTTTTTAAAAACCATTTTTAAAGAAAAAATAAAATAAAATGCAAACTTTTTTTTTCTCCCTCTCTCTCTCTTTCTCTCTTTCTCTCTCTCTCTACACATATATTTATATAATTATACATTCTTGTAATTAATTCATATCAGAAATATGCTAAAATACCTTTAAGAGGTTATGCTATTTTTATTTTTTTTTTAATTGAGATTAAGTAAAAATAATGAAATATATATACATATATAGATATTAGTTGAAGGAAAAAATTTAGACAGAATTTTTAGTATAAAGAAGAAAGTAACTGCATCCTATGTTTATGAAGATAATGATACTATCATAATAAAATATGTTAGAAAAAATAAAATTATGTTCTTTTTAATATTATAAATATTAAATTCTTATGGAGTTATTTTATTTTTAATTACATATCTGATTTCCAATTTTCCTACATATATATATATAAGAAGTTATATTTTTTTTTCATAAAAAAGTTATCTATCATTTTTTGTAAAATTATATTTCATATTATCCTATGCTTATCTTTATATATTCTTATATATTTAGAATACATATAAATATTTAAAATATATAAGATAATAATTACAATATTTTTAATAAAAATTAATTTATATTATTTAAATAGCAAGTAACCAAAAAATTATAAACATAATTATACAATAAAGAAAAATATATAGATATTTATATAAAACATTTAATATATATATATATATGAAATTTTATTATTTATATATACTAAATCTGAAGAGCATATCTTTACGTTTTTATAGTAACTTCAAAAAATATAGTTACAAAAAAGAGGATATAAAAAAAAGCTTTATGTTAATATTATTATATAAATTATTATGAGTGCACATAATTTTATTCATAACTTTATATTAGTGTATAATTTTAGTTTTCCATTTTTTACATAATGCTTTCCTTTTTTAATTAAAAAAAACAATAATAATTTATAAAAATTGAATGAAAGGAAAATAGTGCAATTTTTAATATACAAAATACTCAAAAATATAGTTTCTTATTTTTACTTGACCATCATTTCTTTTAATTATTCCTTTGCATTTTTCATACATATTTTCATACACATAAAAAAGAAAAAAAAAAAAAAAGAAAAAAAGCTTTTTTTTTTTTTTTTTTTTTTTTGAATGTATTTTAAGAAAATTTTTTTTTTTTGAATAAAAAATATAAAATAATAATATATTAAGAAATAAAGGAAAAAAATAAAAGGAAATTATATATGTTTTTATTGATATTTTCATATATAATCTTTTTATTTTTAATGCCTCTCAAGAAATAACAATTAAAATATATATTTTTTTTGATAATTTAAAAGTAGGAAATATTTATTGGAAGTAATTAAATGAAAATGTAAAAAAATAAAAAATGAAAAAACATTTAATTAAAATAATAGAGTAGTAAAAATGAATATTTTATTATATATTCTCGTTGTTCAATTAAAATTTCCTATTAAAATGAATCTAATTGTAAAAATAATGGTAATTTTTTTTTTTTTTTTTTTAGAAAAACAATATGAATAATTCAACAAATATATATAACTATTCTAATAATGTTATAAGTAGTCCTCGAGAGTCATCTATGTTAAGTATATCTTCCTCCCAGAATTTCAATAATAATTATAAATATTCTAATTCACAAAATGAAATGGTAAATTTAATTTTAGAAAATTGTGTTTTGGAATGGTTTCCCTTTTTAAAAGATGATAAAAATAATAATATGGAAAAAGATTATAATTTAAATAATGAAATTATAAAATTAAAAAATTTCTATAAAGGAGTAAAATCATCAGAATTTCCTTTAAAAAAATTATATAAAACAGACAGAAGTATTTCAAACTTAAATGAAGATCATGATGATGAGGATATATTTTATAATAGTAATAGTATATATATGAACATTTTAAGTGAAAGTAATACAAAAAATGACGAAAATGAAATTTATATTAATAAATCTTTTATTAAAGATAATGGAAATGAAACCAAAAATTATAAAATAGATACAAATGAAGAAAATGATTTAAGTGAGAAATGTTGCTTTTATGACTGCATAACGGAACAGGATATTGAAATTAATAATAATTTGAATACACATGTAAGGAAAACTGATAAGGGAGATGAAAGAAGAGAAACAATTAAAATAGAAGAATTTGATAAAGTAAATAACGATGTTAAAGAAAAAAAAAAATTAAATTTTCAAAAATTTAAAAAAGAAATTGAAGAAAAAGCAGATAATGATAAAATTAAAAAAGATTCAAAAAAAGAAGAAAAAGAAGAGCAAAAACAGTATCAACATTTAATTCTATTAAAACAAAAAGAGGACAGAGAGAAAAATAAGAAAAGAAAAGAAAAAGAAGAAAGTGGAGATGAAAGGGAAAAAGAAAAATATAAAACAGAAGAAAGAACTTCATTTAATAATAGTAATATATGTATGATTAATGATCCTAAAAGAAACAAAAATATAGAAGAAAAAATTAATAACAAAGATAATATAATAAGAAATGATAATGAAAATAATGTAGAAAATAATTATTCTAATATAGAAAAATACAAATTAACGAATACAAGAAAAGATATGAATACTAATGAATATAAAAAAGAAACTTATATAAATAACGATCCAATAAATAAAGAAAGAATACAATATCAAGAATACGATAAAAGAAGCATTAGTTCTATAATTGAAGAAATAATAAATAAAGAATCAAAAGAAAAAAATATTACAATGGAATTATATGGAAATATTTATTTAAGTATTTGTATGAATGTTTTAAAAAAAGATATAGATTATTTCTTTTCTCCTTGCCAATTAAAAAATGAAAAACTTTTGTATGAAAAAAAAAAAATTAAAGAAATTCTAAAGCTTTATGATAAGTTATTTTATAGTCATTTTAAGTTTGTTCCAAATAAATTTTACAAAGAAACATTAAGACCCATTTATTCATATTATCAAAATTTAAAATGTAATATAGAAGGGAATATTTCAAATTCTTCTTTTGATTTAAAATTAAAAAAATCTTCTTCATTTAATAATGATAATGAAATTCAAACAAGAAGTAAGAAAAAAAAAAAAAAAAAAAAAAAAAAAAATTATTATATCTTTTTATATATGTAATTTTTTTATATGTAATTTTTTTATATGTTATTTTTTTATATGTTATTTTTTTATATGTTATTTTTTTATATGTTATTTTTTTATATGTTATTTTTTTATATGTAATTTTATTTTTTCAACTTTTTTGTAATTTCTCTTTTCTTTTTTTTTTTTTTCTTTAAAGTTAATAATAAAGAATATGATGATATAAAAAGTATTCAGAAAGGAAATTCTAATGAATATTCAAATTTAGGTAGTTTTTCAAATATAATAAATGATTCTCATATTAAAAAAATACTACTAGATGTTGATGGAAATAAAGATATTAGCTATTTAGAAAAAGACTTTAAATATATATATAAAGACTTAGTGAAACTAAAAAGTTTATTATTAAAAAAAAGACATTACAAAAACATTTTATTTAATTATCAAAAAAATTTTGTTCATATTAATAATAGATGTGTTAAAACATATAGAGATATATATCCTGTAGAGAAAGAATATAAAATATATACTCAAATAAAAAAAGAAACAACAGAAATAATAAATAGTATTAATACAAATTATAAAAAATATTATTTAAATTCGTAATTTTTTTTTTTTTCCATATATTTATTGTACAGTATAATTTTTTTATTTAATAATTTTGGTTTTTTTTTTTTTTTTTTTTTTTTTTTTTTTTTTTTTTTTTTTTTTTTTTTTGTTATTAATAATTGTTAATGAATTTGTAATAATAATACCGTTAATATTTTTTTCATTTGTTTTGCTAATAAATTCATTATTTTATTTTTTATTATAAAATCTTTTAAATTATTAATTTATAATTTTTTTCATTTGTTATTTTATCTATTAATATAATATATATTAAATAATCTAAATGTATATATGTTTGTTTTTATCTATTATTAACAATTTAAAAAAAATAGTCTTACATATTTTACTTTTCATATTTTATTTTGAATTAAAAAATCTTTATTTTTATTATAAAATCTTCTCGAAAAAAAAAAAAAAAAAAGATTAAAAATAAAGATATATAATATATATGTATATCTTCTAATTATGCAAAAATAATAATATGTAAGAACATATATATGTTTATATATATTATTTGTAGAATGTAAAAAATTTTTATGTGCAAAATTTATTATTACATAATTTATGAAATTATTTTTATTTTGTGTTTTTTTCGTATTTTTCAAAATAATGCCTAAAATATAAAACAGCTGCGTTAATATTTTTTAACTGGTTTAAAGGAAAATTAAGAATATTTTTGTGTGGTGCTACTTCTTCTTGTTTTTTTATTCTAGTATTTTTTATATGAATTCTTAAATTAACCATTCTTTTTTGTTTCATTAATTTTCTCTTAGTTGTAGGAGGAACATGACCTTTCATTTTTTCTTTTAAGTATTCTACATTTTTACATTCTTTTACTCCTTTTAAGAACATTTTAATAATTTCAATTTTAGTTAAATCTTTTCTATTTTCTAAATCAATTTCAACATATGCATTTCTTAATCTTTTCATATATAATTTAAAGTTATTTGGTAATTTTCTATTATTTTTATTCCATACTTTTCTGAAAATCAAACTATTATTGTCATTTTTAAAATTTATTATATAACTGTTACATGATAAAAATAATGTAATATAAAAAAAAAGAAGATTCTTCATTTATTAATAATAAATTAATAATTGTCTCTTTTTTTCATGACAATATAATACAAAAAAAAAAAGGGAAATAAAACAAAAAAAAATATAAAAAATAAAAAAAAATGTTAAAAAAGTTGAATAAACTATTTTTAATTCAAATGCATATAACTAAATGCTCCTATAAAAAGAAGTAAAAAAAATAAAGAAAATATATTAAAAATACAAAATTGAAAAAGACGTATACAAAAAAAAAAAAAAAAAAAGTGAAAAAAATAAATATAAAAAAAACATATCATATAATAAATTACCAATATGCAATACCAATGAGCAAAGAATAAAATCAAATATAATTTTTTCTCTTTTAAGATTAAAAATACTTTTGTGAGTAAACTTTTAAAAAAAAAAATAGTTAAAAAATGTATAGTAATTTTTAATGGGATTTATGTAAATAATATTCATAATATTTTTTCTTCCTTTTAGAATTATAAAGTACAAATATTTATTTTTGTTTTCTCTTTCATTTTTTTTTTTTTTATTTTACTTGTTCTCTCATTGCCACTAAAAAAGTTATATTTCCTATTGCTGTAAAAATAGCTGTAACTGAAATTTTTTCATGAAAAGAATAGGAAAAATATGCATACACAGATAAAATAATTAAATGAAAAAATGTTAAGATAATATATATATCTATAAATTTAATTCTTCTAGATGTACTGCTATAATTATTATAAAATTTTTCTAATATTTTTTTCATTTTTTATTTTTTTTTCAAATAAGTTAGGAAACTTATAATAAAAAAATGAAATATTCGAATCAATATTATACTTTAAAAAAAAAGTTCTAAACATTTTAATATTATTTAAAAAAAAAAAAAAAAAGAATAATTAAAAGATACTTTTATAATTTTTTGTTTTTATTAATACTATATTTTAAATTTTAATAAATAATTTTTTTTTTTTTTTTTTTTTTTTAAATTTATATTGAATTTGTTGTAAATGATATTTTTTGTAATTAAATATATATTCATATATATTTTTATTAATAGCTCTTTGAAAAAATATTGTAAACAATATTTTTAATAAGTAAAAAAAAATTTCTTAAAATTTAGACTATTTTTTATTTCCATTATTTGGCATAATTTTATTTTAATTTTTTTATATTTTCTACATTTTTATGTAACTCTCTCCCCATTTATTTATTAAATTATATTTCAAATATTAATTTACTTTTTATATATTTTATTTTTTTTAGTTTATAGGAAAAAAATAAAAAAAAAAAAAAAAAAAAAAAAA